ACAGTGGTTGAGAAACCCGATGCTAAGACTAATAATCTTACAAATCCCTGTAAATCAGCAGCAGATTCCCTAATACTCCTCTGGGACAAAAGTGGAGCGGATGTAGGCCTGTTCTATGAGCCTTGGGTTGGACACAAGGTCTGTGGACTAGCGACGAAGGAGTATAAGCTAATAGCTGCTCAAAAAGAAGGTAAAATTCGAACCTGTAGTCTTGCCAGAAGGCATCTAAATATCTTTCCGCTCCGTAACTTTAGCAACGGCGACAACACCGAGTTGCAAAGGAAACACCTGAGACTGGCGTCCCCCTACATGGCTCACGAGGAAATTGATCCGAGAGGTAGGACCCAAGCCTGCTTATAGGCTAGGCTAGGCTAGGCGCCAACTTTCACTGGGTGACTCTTTTTTTCCCGGTATTCAGTCAGCATATACATATGTACATATGTATGTACCTTAGCGTGATACATATGTATGTCAATTTCCTTTCCGTAATTTTGAAATACACTTGTAAAAGTGTAAAATCACTGAAATCTGGATGCAAAATTTAGTTGCTGTGGCCTTTAGGTTAGGTTGAGGTGGTTGTCAAGATTGCCACAATCCCGACACTTAGGCCGGTTTCGGCCCGTTGTGATATCGCTTGGATCTACTCCTCTTCTCCTCCCGCTTTGCAAGGTGTCAGCCGTGGTTCCAACCCGGTGCCCTTACAAAGTTTGCTATCTTCATGGGAAAGTTCGTTTAGAAAAGCTAAGCCTAAATATCGAGCCTCCTTCTAATGAGATCCGAACAGATGTTCCACTATATCCTCCTCGTCCTCGACTATACAGCTGCGACAAAAGTCGTTATAGGGGCACCAACCTATTTGCGTGGTTGCCTATTAGCACTAAGCAAACAACCCATAGAGACTCCAAACATCCAAAACACTGGCTGCATAAAGAGTATAGGGGATTGGTTCCCAGTTCCTTCGGCTCTCGTTGCCGATGACTTCGTCTGAGAGAGTTTGAAGCAATGATATAAGGAGGTGCTTTTGCGTGGCGTTCTAGGGTGTTCGGTCTCTAACTGTTCAGTGCGTGCTCGCTTGTTCATGCAAAAGGTTGTGTGCGGACGAAGTTGTTCGTTGTTTTTGCTAATAAAATTTGATTTATTGAGAATTAACAGCACAAGCAAAAATATATATACTAAGAAGCCAAAATAACGACTACTTTCAAGTAGTAGGTGATTGAAAAATTAATTTTAAAAAAATAACTTATACTCATTTTCTTGTCATGGGCTACTTTAACCACCATGCCATCATAGGGTTAATCCGTCACACGATAGTCTCGGTTCACTCACACTAACTGCGCAGAACCCTTTCACTCTCACTCACAATCAGCATCCATACGTGACAAACGGGCCCGACGGCACCTCCTTATATAATTGCTTCATGGCGCAGATCAACTATGCTGGCATAACTTGGCCACAGTTCATAGAAGTGTTTATTCACAGCTATGACGACTCTGAGACGCCGGGCGCCATCTTGTTGGACATGCCCAACGGACGGCCGAAGACAGGCGAGGGCTTGTCCGCATATGGAAGCCGACAATTGACGACTAATGACCAAATGGAAGTCGATTAAACTGGAAGAAATAGCTGTGCCTTTCGTATTGGCACACACATCGCAGATCGACACCATACTGCAACATCTACTTTTCACCACCAATATAATGAATACTTAGAAGTGAACTACAGCAGCATTTGAAGACTTTAGACCATTCGATCAGCCCCGATAAGAAGAGGTTTAAGGCACACAATCCAATGAATTGGCAGTACTGTGGGAATCCTGGATATAAAATGCTGGAATGCCCGAAATTCCCGAAAGGGGAAGGCCGAACAAACCAGACCAAAACCATTATATGAAAACCCATTGGCGGGACGCGACAGGACTGGAGGGACTTCTTTTAAATGCGGAGACATCGGTCATATTGCATCCACATGTACGAAGGGAACCGCTGTAGCGTTTAGCAGTATGAGTGAGAAGCGAGTGTACGTCTGTGTCGTGCTGAAGCCGAAAGGAGTTTTATATCAATTTGGTGAGCTCTTTCCATTTTTCTTTGACTGAGGTGCCGAGTGCTCTTTGATCAAAGATAACTTAGCAGAAAAACGAGAAGGGACGTGTGAGACGCTTCTTACGCGTCACATCTTTTATACCCGGTACTCATTACATCTGTACATTAGCGGTTTTTGTCAAATTTTACATTTTTTCTTCATCTGTCATTTACATTTACAACACTTCTCACGCCAACACACTCTTTTCCCACCCACACCCTCCCCTAGAGCCACACACTGCAGAGTCACGGCAGAGACGTGGCACAGGCCGAGTCAGAGGTACGGAAGAGGCAGAGGTCGCACACTGCGCGAAGCAGAGTGTGGATGAGAGAATGTGCAAAAAAAACATAACCTGCGGGACGGCTTGGGTTTAGCCACTGCAAATGGATTTTGTCTCATTCTGCCTATAAAAATGGTACAATCGCATCTTATATGATAGATATGATCATTCCCTACGGAATCGAGTTTTTAGCTTTCTGTTATCTTCAAAATTGTAGCTTTGGAAGGTTTTGAAATTTTAAAAATTTTCTTGAACATTTTAGGAATAGCGGATAAGAGGTACCTATAGAGGTATAGCTCTCTATGGTTTATAGCGCCAAACCCCTACCGAGATGGGGGGAAAGCTAATAGAATGGATGGATAGAGTAAATAGTTTAAGCTAAGGTCAGCACAGAGACTCGGCACAGTACCTGAGTACTCAGCCGGGAAAGTCCGTCAGGGCCCGGTGAAAATACCGGCTTAACTAATTGAAAATCATGAAGTAAGGAGCCTTCTTTAAACAAAGGGAAGAAATGCCATTCGACCTTGGTAGACTATATGAATACACATGACCAAGTTAGCTTTCCTGGGAATACGTTGAATGAAAAAATTGTGCAAAAAGATCGGTAATTGCCTGATCATTGTTAGCTGACGTATTTAGAAAGGAAAGCGAGGATAGATGTGCGGACGCTCTACGCTTACTGTTAACAAAGCTGTCAAATTGCATCCTGCATCGAAATAGGTAGTTCCTATAGCACTAGGCATTAGGAACAGAGAAATAAGATCGAGCTATTACTTAACGAAAAAGAGAAGAAGAATAACGAACTTCTTGAGATTTTTTAAATAGTCTTGATTTTAGGTTCTTTAGACTGGATAACTCTTTGGTGAACCAAGGAGCCTTCCCGGATCTAATCGGACACGAGAGTGGGACACACGTGTCAAAATTTGTGTTAAGTACATTGTAAACGAGAAGGCACGTGTGATACACTTTTTATGTATATCTTACATAACTTCGTACGCCAACACGCTCTTTTAGCTCGGCACCCTCTTCTAGAGCCGTACACTGCGCGAAGCAGAGTGTGGATGAGAGAATGTGCAAAAAACAAAATAAAACTGCTGGTGCATTTTTGTGCACAAATACTAAATCTATATAGCAACACTATATAATTTTTTTTTTTTTTTACCAGGTACTCGAAGAGTAAATATTGTATATGTTATTTGTGCACAAAGTGGATGTATGTATCGCACAGAAGGACACGTTTCCGACCCCATAAAGTAGATGTATATCTTCTTGATCAGCATCAATAGCCGAGTCGATAATGCCATGTCTGTCTCTCCGTCCGTCTGTTCGTCCTGATGAGCGCCTAGTATGCTAGTATGCCTAGTATGTATGCTCACACTGTTACAAGTGTATTTCAAAACTGAGCCGCTCCCCCTTCCGCCCCCACAAAAGGTCGAAAACCTCCCAAACCCACGATTTTGAAGATAAAAGAAAACTAAAAACGCCATTCCGTAGGGAATGACCATATCTATCAGATCACCAAATTGGGATCCCATTGGATCATTATTATAGCCACAATGAATAAATTAATTTGCAGTGGCTAAACCCACCCCGTCCCGCAGCTTTTGTTGTTTTTTCACATTCTCTCTTTCTCTCTGCTTCTGCAGTGTGTGGCCTATGCCCCTGCTGATTCTAAACCCACCCCGTCCCGCAGTAAAATTTGACAAAAAAACCGCTAAGGTACAGATGTAGTACTGAGTGCCGGGTATACAAATTGAGAAGCGTAAGAAGCGTCTCACACGTCCCTTCTCGTTTTATATTGTAGTATGCACAATACAATACAATACTACAATATTAAACTTGTTAGCCGACATGCCGACAATTAAAGTTACAGTATATATGTATATATGTACGAATGTACATACATATGTATGTTCCTACATATGTATATGTATATATGCATCTACCAAAAATCATACCAAAAATATATACCCCTATATTTAATGAGTACCGTGTATAAAAACCCTTCAAAATATAGTAAAGTGAATTCGAGAAAATAAAAATGTTGGTACAGATCGTGTAGGCCAAAAGTTAGATTTTTCGGACTGTATAATCCTTGCTTAATCCACATTATTATATAAAAAACCTGTGCGCTTTTTAAGCTTTTCCCACTCCGTACAGTTTTCAATTAAACGTCTGTCCATATGTATGTACATGCATATGTATGTATGTACATATGTACACATTTGAATCACATTCACTTTTAACAAAGTGAACACAGTCAACACATCTGGGTTGACCATTTCCCACACCAATAAACAGACCGGTTTTCCACCAAGCAGCGTGAACTAAACCAAAAAGTCTTTCTTCTCCCTACTCTTAAGTTTTATTAGGATTGGAAATGTTTTCCTTATTTAGAAAATATTAAATTATTGAGAAAAAATAGTAAATAATTTTGAATTAATATGTTTGTATATATGTATGTATAACTGCACTTATTCCGAAATCGGTTTCCCATCACTTTCCTTGTATTTACTAATAGGCAAATTCATGTATGTTCATTTGTGTATGTATATAGGTATATACCTACATACAATACGTAAGCGTCATGGACGATTGTACATTTATGTACATACATATGTACATTTGTATGTGCTTGCACATATTTTTAAATAGGTTTAGGTTTTGGTATGTATGCCTGCGAGGTTTACAGTTAACCACTATGCAAAAAACCTGTTTGTTAGCGCAATCTTTTGTTTTGACCAGCGGATTTCTTTAATATGTTCATGTGTACCTTGTACATATGTACCTACATACATACATATAATCTCTGTTCATACATACATACATACATAAGTACATACAAACAACAAACGTCTTTAAAAATGCAAAATAACAGACCTTGTTCGCAGGTTTCCATTTCGAGATGTATTTAATGATTTTGTGGCAAGCTTGAAACTTGTGGTGGCGCTGTTGCCACTATTGAGTTGACTGGCACTTGTACGAGGTAACCGCGGATTTGTATTCCCATTTCCTGACAAGGGGCGCGCCGCACTACCAGCATTATTGCTCACGGCAAGTGCTCCCGGTAACATATCATGGTGCATGATGATTCCGATGCACAGTAGCATTAATGTAAGCACCGCCCGGCTAATGAATTTCCCCCTCCTTGTATAATCCAGAAAGGCTACCATGACTGCGAACCGTATCATCTCTACACTTTTATATATATTTGACACGACCGAGACGTTTTTACCTGAAATTATTTATAAATTTGTAAGTGGAATGTTTTTTATTTCATTGTACACATAAGAACATATACATATACATACAAATGTATTACAGAAAATGTTGCGACTGGTTCAGATTACAAAAATCAACTATCTACATACATAGATTCTTTAAATAAAATATTTTTAAAAAAATGTATCTTTCTTAATTTAATATTTGTTTTATATATACATATGTACATATATGAATATGTAAATATATATACATATACATAAGTACATAGCTTTTAAATAATATCGCAATAAATTTGATATCAATCTCTTGGGTGTTTTTTTTTTCACTTTTGATTTCAATATTTAACCAAACCAAAAATGAACATACAAAACCAATTTTTAGTCATAAATCCATTTTATTTACTTAAAAAAAACTTGAATGTACATTTAGAGGAAATCGTATATCTTCAACATTCAACAATTCACAACCGATTAAAGCCTTGGGTGAAACTTTTCTGTTTCTGTTATAGATCTCAGTAGTTAAACAGCTGCCTAAGCAACCACAAAACACAGCTTTACAACATGCCCAGAAACTCACCACAAAGATAGATATTGTGGAACTCGTTTACTCTATCCGAAAGTGAGAGTTGCTTTACAGTTCAATATAAGGCACTTATACATATGTAGATACATTTGTACGAACATAGATACATATGTATACAATATGCTATTGTAATACAATACTTAAATACAAGCGATCGTGTTCTTTTTGTGTACGTATGTGTTAATTTGATGATTACCCAAATACAAAGCACATATACAGGACAACATCAAGCCAACTTACTTGATTGATTAGTTATTGTGCCCGGTACTCGAAGAGATAAAAGGGCATTCAGCAGAATCTCATATGTATATTAGAACCATTTTTTTTCTGGGGCGATTCTAACTTCTAACGAAAAGGGACGTGTGAGACGCTTCTTACGCGTCACAACTTTATATCCGGCACTCAGTACTACATATGCACTATAGCGGTGTTTTATCAAATTTTACATTTTTTCTTCATCTGTCATCTACATCTACAACACTTCTCACACCAACACGCCCCGTTAGCTCGCCGCCCTTCCCTAGACCACCCACCCCTAGTACACTTGTAACAGTGTGAGCATGCAGAAGTATGGATGCAAAATTTCGCACAAATACAATCTACCCTATTTACTCTTCGAGTACCGGGTATAAAAATAAGAGAAAAGAAAAAACGCAATCCCGTAGAGAAAAGCCATATGTATCTATCAGACCACTGAATAAGGATCAGATTGTATCAATATTATAGTCAGAATGAAGAAATTAATTTGCAGTGGCTATCAGGAATTGACCAGGTACTTTATGTTGAATATTAGAAAAAAAATGTTACTGAAAATATTGAACTCAAAAAAAAGTTGTTTGCCGAACGAACACTAGAAATAGAATGTTCGATGTACATAGATGTCACAAAACATTCTGATAAATAAAGCAAATCCCTACTTAATCCAAAAACAGACACATTAAAAGCACGACTATATAGGTTAATTGTGTGGTGACCTACTTGATAAACAACAAAAATCTAAATTTTTTGCTCCGTACATTCCTTTTAATGATCTGTGCCGATGAGCAGACTGTTAAATGTTTCGGGTGTTAACTCAATTTCAGGAAGTTGCACTTTTCTTTATTCCCAATATATGCCATCTAACTCAAGTTAGAGTTTAGTTGGCGTAGTTGGTAATTTTGTCTGACTGTCAATTTTGGGATGTCGCGGTTGTCTCCTTTCCAATTGACTATGTTGATTTCGTTCATTTCGCGCCTCTTGTGATAGATTTTCAAGCAAAAGCTACATGCCCATATGCACATTATCTTCTAGAATCGTCTGCCCTTTCTGTTCGAAGGGGCAACAACGCTTCTTTTATCCTTAATGTTCCCACAAAAATTTTGAATAAAATTTAACAAAAAAGTAAGTATACGCACAGATGAATATTATTTTATTCAAGCAATGCTAATTTCGTTAAAAACACTAAAATTAAAAATTAAAACCTATTTGCAGACCTTAAACTGCAACAACAATTTTATAAGAATCGCGATTAAAAGGTAAAAATTGGTTATAGTTTACATCCGATCCGCGTACCTTCTTCATATGCAACAAAAATGTCATTAGTTCAGTCACAAACACCGTGAGAACGAACTTCTTTATATATAGAATATAGATTATATGTATTATAAAATTGTTGTTGTTTTATTATACTTTTTTTAACAAATTTATGAAAAATTAATTTTACGTATAACTGAAAATAAAAATTGTATACGTACCTTGCTAAATCTAATCTTACCTCTTTAACTATCATTTCATAATTTTCGTTTCATCTAGATAAAACTTTTTTTAGGATTCGGATAGCATATTCATAGTATCTACAGATTTTTCTACAGAACCATCTATTTTTGAAACCTCAGTCTAAAGAACCTAAAATCAAGACTATTTAAAAAATCTCAAGAAGTTGGTTCTCCCTCTTCACTTTCTAATTACTTAATAGCTAAAAAAAACAACCTAAAATGATATCTGGTTAGTCGACTTAAAAGAAATAAACTTGGAAAGTCTGTTACCCGAAGGCTATGTTAAAAACATTCATGTCGAAAAACAGCTTGACTCCAATTCTCAGCCGCATATTGTAAGTATGGCGTTTTTTAGTACATTTGTTTTGACCTAATGCAGTATAATAATAAGATAACGACGAAGACCAAAGGGCTTATTTAATACCTTATTTATATACGACTATCTTTTTAAATAGAGAATATTTGGTTTCTTTAATAGTATTTGGTATCTTAATATGTATTCCATTATTCAAAAAATCTCGAAATCAAATGTTATACCATTCACTCGAAGAGTAAATAGGTATTTTTTCTCGAAAGTTTATGTACGTTACACACAGAAAGAATCGTATCCGATCCCATAAAATATATTGTCTGGACATTGATATGCAATACACCAAGCCGAAGCCTCTTACGCGCGGAACCCCGCTGAACGCAGCCCTCCTCCCACCCAACCGACCGAGGGGCGCTGCCGCACGACGCTCGAAGCGTAAAATCGAACCGGTCGAGAACATGTTGGAAATAATATTCTAGTATTCGAGGAAAGTTAGAGCTAATCGCGACTAAACTAGAGCAACTATAGCTAGGTAGGCTAGTATAAGATATTTAAGAAGGGGAAGGGAGCTAGTAGAGGTTATAATGTAATAGAGGGAATTATAATCCGCTTAAATCCGAAAAGGGTTCGTGTAAGGCATAATTCGATCTACAAAGTGGACGGAAAAAAGGAATGAAGTTTCTAGTGGTTATAATGGGAATCGTATAGTTTATGCGGCTCAACAAGTCAGGGCTGGCTACATCTCCCTTGATCAAGTTGTGCATAAAAATTACACCAAGAAATTTCTACGGCTAACTAAGAATGGAAGGTTTATTAGACGCAGTCAACTACGGTAGGATGGCAGTCTCACAGTTGCATCCCAGTTGAGGCCACGCAGGTCAAAAAGTAAAAAGTTTTTCTGCACTGATTCAATATGGTCCTGATGTATGTTGTACTGAGGGCACCATAAACATGAGCCGTATTCTAAAATCGGAAGAACAAACGAGATATAGAGAGTCTTCGTTATATAGGGGTAATCAAACTCCTTTGACCACCTTTTTATAAAACCAAGCACACCCATGGCTTTATGTATTTCTTCATATGTAGAAATGTGTTCAGAAAAGTAACTTGGGGTCTAGTTTAACACAAATCATCAACCAATGTAATTCTCTCAAGAGAACTACCGCAGAGTGTGGAAGGAGCCATGAGGGGGCTGGAGCGATAAAAAGTCATTACATTGCACTTCGAGGCATTAAGGTGTAACATATTTGCACCACACCATGACTAAAAGTATTGAGATCTGTTTGCAAGCTAGATTGAACTGCAATGACCTTATACTGGACGCAAAGCTTAACATCATCAGCATACATTAGTACTCGAGAATTTTTTGAAGTGTGATCTTATGACCACAAAACTCGAACGATTGTCTGAATGGACAACGGAACGAAAACGGAACTTTTACTATTCACTAACAAAACTCAACCTCTCAACCAACACTAAAAAAATGTAGGCTATCCTTTAGCGACAGTGGCAGTTACCTAGAATTGGTAATAGATAAGAAGCTAAATTGGAACCTAAATACCTACCTCTTATCCGCTATTAATAAAATGTTCGAGAAAATTAAAAAAATTTCAAAAATTAGCCCCCTTCCGCCCCCGCAAAAGGGCGAAACCACCCAAAGCTAAAATTTTGAAGATAACGGAAAACTAAAAACGCCATTCCGTAGGGAATGACCATATCTATCATATAAAATGCGATTGGACCATTATTATAGGCAGAATGAGAAAAATCCATTTGCAGTGGCTAAACCCAAGCCGTCCCGCAGGATATGTTTCTTTTTTGCACATTCTCTCATCCACACTCTGCTTCGCGCAGTGTGCGACCTCTGCCTCTTCCGTACCTCTGACTAGGCCTCTGCCACGTCTCTGCCGTGACTCTGCAGTGTGTGGCTCTAGGGGAGGGTGGCAAGCTAAAAGAGTGTGTTGGCGTGAGAAGTGTTGTAAATGTAAATGACAGATGAAGAAAAAATGTAAAATTTGACAAAAACCGCTAATGTACAGATGTAATGAGTACCGGGTATAAAAGATGTGACGCGTAAGAAGCGTCTCACACGTCCCTTCTCGTTTTTCTGCTAAGTTATCTTTGATCAAAGAGCACTCGGCACCTCAGTCAAAGAAAAATGGAAAGAGCTCACCAAATTGATATAAAACTCCTTTCGGCTTCAGCACGACACAGACGTACACTCGCTTCTCACTCATACTGCTAAACGCTACAGCGGTTCCCTTCGTACATGTGGATGCAATATGACCGATGTCTCCGCATTTAAAAGAAGTCCCTCCAGTCCTGTCGCGTCCCGCCAATGGGTTTTCATATAATGGTTTTGGTCTGGTTTGTTCGGCCTTCCCCTTTCGGGAATTTCGGGCATTCCAGCATTTTATATCCAGGATTCCCACAGTACTGCCAATTCATTGGATTGTGTGCCTTAAACCTCTTCTTATCGGGGCTG